CATTCAATAACTACCTTACTTCTTCGAATAGAGAAAGAAGAATTGGATATGAAAGGAAGTGGATTCTATGTTTCTTTGGAGTGGGTCACTATCAGTAAGAAAAATAAAGGTAAAATATAACTACAATGTGAATCCACAGGGGTTGGTGCCATTTAGTAGATTTTGAAATGCAAAGCTGTTCCTGTAAATGCTGTTGTTGCTGTGATTCTAATACCCCACATCTAGTGGGATGAATTCCTATAGATAATTTCTCCTCAGGTATATATTGTTATAGAAAGAATAACTTCCGGGGAGCCTGGGTGGCTCAGTCGGTTAAACGGCCGACTTCGGCTCAGGTGGTGATCTCGCGGTCCGTGAGTTCGAGCCCCGCGTCGGGCTCTGTGCTGACAGCTCGGAGCCTGGAGCCTGCTTCCGATTCTGTGTCTCCCTCTCTCTCTGCCCCTTCCCCCATTCGCGTTCTGTCTCTCTGCCTTTCAAAAATGAATAAATGTTAAAAAAAAAAAAAAGAAAAGAAACAATAACTTCCACAGTCAGTTATGCCTTTTTGTATAAAAGGAGACATTCTTACATAATTTTGAAAGAATTTAAAGTGTATAATTTCAGTATATACAAGACTGTACACATATATTCTAATGTGTATATGTATCACATACAAGGATTATGTATATAAATGTAAATTATAAATTGTAGAAAAGTCTTGACTCTTGGGCTGTTTGAAACTATCAGACTTCTAACTTGGACATTAGAAATCATTTTTCACTGTATTAATTAGGATTCCTTTAATGGTGTGGCCTTGTTCTTCACCAGTGCTTAGTTCTTACTATTGTTGAAAACTAAGGGAGCTTGTTTCCTTGACTCTCTGCCCTTTTTCTAAGTTTTTATTAACTTACATAACTTACGGGCCTTAAATTACAGTTGACCCTTGAACAATAGGTTTAAATTGTGTAGTTTAAACTGTAGAGTTCAGGTCCACGTATACATGGATATTTTTTGATACAGGACATTACTGTAAATGTATTTTCTCTTCCTTATGAGTTCTTGAATAACCCTTTCTTTATTCTAGCTTACTTTATTTTTAAAAATACAGTATATAATATATATACAAAGTATATGTTAACTGACTGTTTTTGTTATCAGTAAATCTTCCAATCAACAGTAGGCTATTAGTAGTTAAGTTTTTGGGGAGTCAAAAGTTATATGCAGATTTTTGGCTGCATGGGGGATCTGTGTGGTTTTGTTTTTTTTTTAATGTTTGTTTTTGAGAGAGTGAGAGAAACTTTGAGGGGAAGAGAGAGAGGGAGACAAAGGATCGAAGCAGGTTGGGTGCTGACAGCAGAGAGCCTGATGTGGGCTCAAACTGAACCATGAGATCATGACCTGAACCAAAGGCAGACACTTAACCAGTTGAGCCACCCAGAATCTCTCATGTCATTTCTTAAGGTTTCATTCTTTTCACCCCCTTAAGTATTATTTATATAATTGTTATTCTTTTCCTTTTTCTTTTTCAATGAATATAACAGCAGTGCTTTTCTAAACTCTGTTGAGTGGAACATTTGATAAACACTGTTTTGTAGTTAAATTGAAAATATGGGCATATAATAGCCCTATTTCACATTAAACATGTTGAAGATTCTAAAAATGTTGAGTAAAGAAAAAAAAAAAAAGACAATTAGAGCAAGCATTTCCCAGCTCATTTAACCATGGAGTTCACTTGAAATCCACTTGTTATTTTCTGTTGCACACATGTTGGGAAAAGCCACCCTGTAAACCATGTAGTATCTAAGTCTGGGTGTTTGGAGTCCGGTAGGACTCTTTCCCTTACACGTACCTGTGCAGGAAGCATAGGAGTTTTTAGTTCATTCATAAATTTACAAGTCTTTTCTTAAATATGTGTGAAATGAAGGTGAATGTAGGTGAAGATTTAGAGGAAAACAAGGACATATATTTAAAACAGATTGTATCATTATGTATAACACGTGACATTGGGTTACAATTTTTGACTACTTATTGTGAAGCTTGTTAAAGTAGTACAGCTCACTCTAATAGAGTAACAGTGTAAGTAAAGGTAAGGGCACACACAAAACCAAACCTGTTTTCAAGAATAAATTCAGTTATTTTACCAGTAATTTTCATGATACAGTTAATTTTATATCTTTTCTTTATATCTCATATCTTAAATTTTATATCTTAAAATCAAGTATTGGGGCACCTGGGTGGCTCAGTTGGTTAACTGTCCTACTCTTGATTTCAGCTCAGGTCATGATATCACAGTTCATGAGTTTGAGCCCTGCATTGGTCTCTGTGCTGTCAGCGGGGAGCCTGCTTGAGATTCTTTCTCCCTCTCTCTCTCTGCCCCTCCCCCATGAGTATACATGCGTGCTTTCTCTCTAGGTAAATAAACATTTTTTAAAAAATTAAGTATTGGGGCACCTGGGTGGCTCAGTTGGTTAAGCGTCCGACTTTGGCTCAGGTCATGATCTCGTGGGTTGTGAGTTTGAGCCCCGTGTCGTGCTCTGTGCTGACAGCTCAGAGCCTGGAGCCTGCTTCAGATTCTGTGTCTCCCCCTCTCTCTGCCCCTCCCATGCTCATGCTCTGTCTCTCAGTAATAAATAAATATTTAAAAAAATTAAAAAAAAATTAAGTATCATTATTTATGCTTGATTCATTAGGCATATAGGTCTGAATCATTTCTACCATAAACATTTCATTTTAAGGAAACCCCCTTAAGTAGCTAGAATGAGCAGAAAAATAGTCCACACCATACCTTTACTTTATCCTTCGTTTGTGGCTCTTTTGAGCAGATGCCTATCATGTACCTGCTGGGGAAGTAGAAAGGCTGTAGTAAAGGAAAAGGTAGATCATTCAGAAGCTGATATTTAGGTAAGTCAGTCACTTTAAAGTCTAGAGCACTGGTATCCAATGGAAATTTCTGCAAAATGGACATGTTTTATGTGTGTGCCATTTAAATTTTTTTTTTCAACGTTTATTTATTTTTGGGACAGAGAGAGACAGAGCATGAACGGGCGAGGGGCAGAGAGAGAGGGAGACACAGAATCGGAAACAGGCTCCAGGCTCCGAGCCATCAGCCCAGAGCCCGATGCGGGGCTTGAACTCCCGGACCGCGAGATTGTGACCTGGCTGAAGTCAGACGCCCAACCGACTGCGCCACCCAGGCGCCCCTGTGTGTGCCATTTAATACGGTAGCAGCTACCCATGTGTGGCTGTAGAACATTTGAAATGTGACTAATGTGACTGAGGAATTGAATTTTAAATTTTACTTAATTTTCGTTAAATAGCCACTATGGCCAGTAGCTACCACATTGGAAAGCACAATCTAGAGCAAATTTCATCAGAGCTGGTATTTTAAAGTAGGGGTGAATTTATAGAAAATTAGGTTATAAACTTTTTTAGCCCTATGAAAAGACTCTTGATAGCATGCCTTTTAATAGTACACTTAAAATACTTAATTTTAGGGGCGCCTGGGTCGCTCGGTTAAACGTCCAGCTTCGGCTCAGGTCATGATCTTCCTGTCCCTGAATTCAAGCCCCACCTGCATTGGGCTCTGTGCTGACATCTTAGAGCCTGGAGCCTGCTTGGGATTCTGTCTCCTTTGCCCTTTGCCCCTCCCGTGCTCATGCTCTCTTTCTCTCTCAAAAATAAATAAATGTTAAAAAAAATACTTAATTTTAATTAAAATTAACATACAAATATTTTCAGGACATTTTTATAATATAGTGTTTTATTTATAATTTTTTGTTCTGAAATACTTTCTTTTTTTACAGACAGTAAAAAATATGAAATCATTAAGTGTGATACTCTCCGTGGAAAGTCAGTGCCGCATTATGCTGCTATTGAGCCTGATGGGAAAGGTCTGATGATTGTCTCCTACAAGTCCTTCACATTTGTACATGTTGGTCAAGATCTTGAAGAAAATAAGAATGACAACTTGTCTGAGAAAATCAAAGGTAATTTTAGTGTTCATAGAGCTCATGTGTGTTTATGTACATTTATGTCTGGTTTGTCTTACTGGTTAGGTTATGGGTTCTACCAGGACTAGATAGAGGCTTAATTTTCCTTTGTATTTCTCAGAATTGTCTTTTGTAAAATGTGCTACCTAAATAGTGTGAATTGTTTTAATCAGTAATTTCGTAATTACCAAGAATATTTTTAAAAAATTATGCCTTTATGAGATGTTTAGTAAATACTTATTAAATGAATAAATAATGTCTGTTTGTTATTGGTGTTTGTGAAGCTAACATATTAGTATTGAATATATTAATCTTTTAAAATAAGCTAAACTGTGTTGATTATAGGTATATACTAGTGTATGTCTTCTGAATTTTTAGTGCTAAGCTTTAAAAAAAAAAGTTCTTGAGGGCCTAATTGTTAAGTTTTTCCAATGTTAAATGAATAAACGGATGAAGTGAATGTTTTAGAATGAGGACAGTAACAAAGTCTTTAAAATTTATATTTACATAAGAAGAATACTCTTACATTCAAGAGAATATCCCCCTGTAACCATTACTATTCATAATCCTGATGTTTACAATCAGAGAATAGTATATTTTACTTGAGATTTTCGCAATATTTTCAATTATACATATTAATCTTTGAATGTCCCTTTTTTGTTAATTATATAAAATAAAAATTAGTTTCACTATATTTATTTAGGACTTTCTTTTTTTTCTTTTTAAATTTTGTTTTTCAACGTTTATTTATTTTTGGGACAGAGAGAGACAGAGCATGAACGGGGAAGGGGCAGAGAGGGAGGGAGACACAGAATCGGAAACAGGCTCCAGGCTCTGAGCCATCAGCCCAGAGCCTGACGCGGGGCTCGAACTCACGGACCGCGAGATCGTGACCTGGCTGAAGCCGGACGCTTAACCGACTGCGCCACCCAGGCGCCCCTAGAACTTTCTAAAGAAAAAAATTCTTTGAAAAGTATTTGAAAACAGGGATGCCTGGGTGGCTCAGTTGGTTGGGCATCTGACTTTGGCTCAGGTCATGATCTCAGGGCGCGTGAGTTCGAGCCCCATGTCAGGCTCTGTGCTGACAGCTCAGAGCCTGGAGCCTGCTTCAGATACTGTGTCTCCCTCTCTTTCTGCCCTCCCCCACTCATGCCTGTCTCTCTCTCAAAAATAAATAAACAAACAAAAAAAGAAGAAAAGTATTTGAAAATATTAATGTAATAAATATTTTAAAAATATTTTCCACAGGTTCATAAATGATACGCACCTTTGAATAAGAGAGTTATGCTTTGATGGCCTTTTATTTAGCCTTTTAACAACTTGGTTTCCCATGTGATGTGTTTTAATGTTAGATTATCTCTAAGATCCCTTTCTGAATAAGTTCTACTCTGTCTCAATTATACTGTTAAACTTTTCTAGAGCTTAGCCAAAAAGCTATTCATATCTCTAGACCACATGCCCCTTAGAACTCTTGGTGAGCAATTGCAAAGGAAATGAAAGAATGCCCTAATCTCTGGAAACATTCTGCCTAGTACCTGAAACTATGTGGTTCCAAGACAGATTGTAGCGTAGGAGGGATACAACATCTGTTTAAATCATAACTATCAGGTGTTGTTTTTCTTGTTGACATCTCACATTATATTTTGATTTCCTTCTGAATACATTAACGTCTTTCCTTCCCTTTTAGTGTGAACCTCAAATCCCCTGTATTTTTCTGTGTACCTGTAATAAACACACTTTACCTATAAAGGAGAAATGTAATTTTTAAAAAATTATGGATAGTTTGTCATTTATAGCATGCTTTCTTTTAAGTAATCATCTGAGAATATATATGGGTTTCATTTTCTATAAACCTCAAGAAGACTGATATTGTCTGTTGCCAATTTGGTGTTGTCATAATGATATAAGTAAGAGCATTTTCTTAGAAAGACTTAAAACAATTTCTAAAACATAGGCACTTAGCAACCAACAACTGAAAAAAATATTTAGTTGTTTGTATAACTTTTAGTGGACAGAAGCTTAAAAAATTCTGGCTTTCCATTTAGTCTACTTCCATGGACTTTAAGTTTTACTAGAAGCTCATGTGATTTTGCAGACTCCTCCCCTTTCCATATCTGGCAGAAGTTACCCATTGAATCATTGTTACATATAAACTGCCTTGTTAACTTTTGTGGTAGACAGAAAATTGAGTAAAACAGGTAACTTGCCTTAAGGAGGTTATAGTTATCAATCTTTTAAGCTGTAGTTCAAACTTTCTCAGTGAATTTATACTAAAAGTACTTCTAAAGAGATAACAGAGAAGATTTAAGAGCCTGCTTAAAGGAATATGATGCAAGTTAGAAATTAATCCAAAGTAACAATTTTATCCTGAAAATTTATGCATTTTTTATGCTTATTCCTATAGTATCATGCTTGTTAAATTTTATTTAACATCAAATAGAAGTGACCCTTTAAGAAGATACATCATACTTACTATTATATCTTTGAGCATAGCTAGTACTTACAAAGTTTTTACACAAAACAGCACAAAAATAAAAAGAATGATACCCCCCTCAGAAAAGAATAATAACCCGCATTTACTGAGAGTTTATACTATATGTAATAACAAGATTGATATTGAATATTTTATATGCATTAACTCATTTATTAAATATTTTATATGCATTAACTCATTTAAATTTTAACAGTTCTGTGAGATAATGTCATATTTTGTTATTTTATTTTACAGATTGGGAAAAAGAGGGTAGTAGATAAAGTTGTATACCAAGATTAATAAGTGGCTGAGCCAAGATTCAAGACCTAGGACTAGTCAACTCTGGAGTACTAGTTACTAACCACTATGTTATATTCCTTTCTGATGAGTGTGTGGACAGATTAATGTTTATGGATATCATTAAGCAAATAATTATTTACTTCTTAGCAAATATTTATTCTTTTTGCATTTAAGCCCTATTTTCTTATTTCATCCTATGGGTATTTCAACCTGTAGCATGATGAGTTTAAAGCTTTTTCTAAGAGAAGCCAAGGAGATCAAGAAGGAGGTGAAGGGAGGATACTTTTATTGGGAACTTGGACAAAATACACTGGCAACCGTTGAATTTCCTGTGAAATTGCTTTCATGCACAAAGTTGCAGAGTAGAATTTATAAATATATATATCTTTTATTTTTATGTGGGTATGTATCTCACCAAATAATAGTTGTCTTCTGTATCACAGAGTTACATTGTTAGGGCAAATCAAAGCAATGGTGAAAGTTTCAGACAGTGGTTTATGACATATTTGTTACTCCTTTGAAGTAGGAATCTGCTGTGTTTGTAAAGGGAAGAGAAAGGAGGAAGAAAAGGGGAAACTGGGAGACAGGGAGAGAATGAATGGGGATAAAGGATTGCTGTCATTAGTATTTTATGAGTGCTTATGTCTTGGAGCATTAGGTAAGCCTGGAAGAGGAAATGTCAAGTGCAGTTGTTATAACTCTGAAAATTCCCCCAAAAGATCTGTGTGTGTTTGTTTATAATTACTTTGTTTTGTAAGAAGATCACTAGAAATTATGCTAAGATTCCTTTAGATAGGTGTTCTTTTGTGTGCTCCAGTGTCTCATTTTGTGTGTTCTGGTCTCCACTTTTTTATTACATAATGTATTTTTCTTTTCCCAATAGAACCTCTGTATTACTGGCAACAGACTGAAGATGATTTGACAGTAACAATACAACTTCCAGAAGGCAGTTCTAAGGAGGACATTCAAGTACAGTTTTTGCCTGATCACATCAACATTGTGCTGAAGGGTCAGAGGTTTTTGGAAGGAAATCTCTATTCATCTATTGATCAAGACAGCAGTACATGGATGATTAAAGATAATAGGTATACAGATAGAGTTGTATTTATATTTAAAAATTTTTTTTTCTTTTTTCTTTTTTTATCTCTTCTACAGTGGTTACACCAAAGTTGACTACTACTACAATAGGTCTGTCTGTATTGCTGATTCTTTCTTAAGACAGATTAAAAATGGAATTACTGTATCAAAATACATGATTATCATTAAGATTAAAAATGCTGGTAAAGTTATAGTTTGTATTCTATGGTAGAGTGTTTATTATCAGCTCTGGAAAAATAATGACAGTAGTAACAGTAATAATAGATAAAAATGGTTATTTGTTTTAATTAATACTCTAAAACTTTTTAAGAGAAAAATCTCTTTTTATTGACTTCAATTTGCCAACTAGATAATACATTCCCATTCTTTAAATTTTAATATACATAAAAGGGTACACAGTGTGAAGGCTCCCTCCAGCCCAGGCCCTTCAGCCATCCTTCCCCTCATGCCCATAACCACTGTTCATAGTATTTTATGCATATTCAAGCAGATATATGTCTGTTTTTTGAACAAAAAAGGTTTTAAAACATAACTATACATAGTTTTACAGCTTGCTTTTGTTGACTTTCAATAGCAAATCTTGAAGAACTTTCTATAATGTATATATAATGATTTATTTTATTCTCCTTTATGGCTATTTATGATATTTTACTTTGTCACCCACAATCTTTTTTAAAAAATGGTCCTTTATTGTTCGATATTTTGACTGCAGTCCTTTGCTACAGTGAATAACTTTCATATGTATATAAAAGAATTTCATGTGTGCAGGAATATATATGGAGGACTCCTACAAGTGGAGTCAATATTTCTTTGAAAATTATAGAGAATATTTTTTTAATGTAAGTTAGCCGTGTACATTTTTTTGTAATTGTGTGTTCAGGACACGAGAAATAGATGATATGGTCAACTTATCCAAACAGAGCTTTTCAGTACAGCAAAACTGAGAATTTCTTCTCTTCTAAAAAAACCATTAAGAAAACAGAACCAGACCATGGACTGGGAAAAAAAAATATTTTCATTATGCATATAAAACAAAGGAATTGCATTCTTCATATATAAGAAACCTTGTTAGAAATTTATAATTAAAAGATAACCCAATTTTAAATATGGTCGAATGGTTTGAATTGACGTATCATGATAGATGATATTTGAATAGCTAGTTAAGCATATGAAAAAATAGAGGGAAAGGCACGTTAAAGCTAGATGAGACACCAGTGCATGGCTAAAACTAGACAGCTTATGGTATCAAATGTTGACAAGAATGTGGATCACCAGCCTCTTGTACATTGCTGGTGGGAGGGAAAAATGATAGTCACTTTGGCAAACTGTTAAGCAGTTTCTTAGGCTAAGCATATATATACCCACTTAGTAACCCAGAAATTCTACTAGATATTAGTACTCAGTAGTACACAATAGAATGCTACTCTGTGATACAAGAGAATGGTGTGATAAACACAGCAGTGTGAATGAATCTCAGAAACATGCAGAGTGAAAGAAGCCAGGGACAAAAAATGTGCATACAGTGTGAGTCCAAACATATGGAGTTGGCAAACTGGCAAAACCATCTCTGGTGATACAAATCAAGACAGTGGTTACCTCTAGGATGTAGGGGGACTGACTAGAAAAGGGACACAAGGGAACTTTCTGGATGATTGAATAGCTTCTTTGGGTTATAAGGGTATATGCATTTGTGAAATTCCATGAATTCTATACTTCAAATCTGAATTTAGTGTGTAAAAACCTCAGTGAAAGGAATATGCAGAAAAATAGGTAAAGATTAAGTTTCTTATAAAACTATAACCCTTTGCTCCTACTTTTTTGCCCCTTTGTAAATCTTTCATTATAGATTGTTAGTAATTATTACATTCTGTGATGGGTTAATGGATGGTTTTGGGCACTTAATTTAAGAAATGGTCAGATTTCGGGGCGCCTGGGTGGCTCAGTCGGTTAAGCGTCCGACTTTGGCTCAGGTCATGATCTCACGGTTCGTGAGTTCAAGCCCCGTGTCAGGCTCTGTGCTGATGGCTCAGAGCCTGGAGCCTGTTTCAGATTCTGTGTCTCCCTCTCTCTCTGACCCTCCCCTGTTCATGCTCTGTCTCTCTCTGTCTCAAAAATAAATAAGCGTTTAAAAAAAAAATAAAAAAAAATAAAGAAATGGTCAGATTTGGTCAGAAGTGGGTTAAAATTAGTTATTTTTACTTTAAATATAATTTTCAATTTGTAATATAGGACCCATATGAGTCTTTGATTTGAGTCTAAATATTGGAAGTCTGAGAAATAGGTATCTAGTTCAAAAAATTTGAAGCTATATGCTTTTATATCCTGAATTCGTTTTATTGATGGGGAAATTTGGCGACTTTTCTTTTTTAATGTGGTAAGATAAATAGATTCATGAGTAAATGATGTTGTTTATAATTTTTTGAGAATTATTGAACTAAGAATCCAATATTCAGTGAATTCAACAAAAAAAGAATAATGATTTCCATGAATCTGATGCTTTGTCTTTCTCTCTTTTTGGATGGATTTTTTTTTTAACTGTTCTAATAATTCTTGCTAACCAGTTTTAATCATGGTATATTTAAATAATCACTGCAGTCCTTCCACATTTTTAATAATCACTCCTGCAAATGTTTACAAAAATATTTTTATTGTAATTCTCAGGAAAGTATTACTGTTTCAGAGGGAGTGAAAGATCTGAGCTAGATTAAAGTCTAATCTCGTGGATAGTTTTCGACAATCTCACCTTCAAGGTGATAAAAGTGGTTTCTAGAGTCCTGACCAATACTCAGTTATACCAATTGAATAAATACCTGATTTTGTTAACAGTTTATCCATTTACCTGGATAATGAAGATGTGGAAAAGGACACCCAGATGAGAAGTACCCTGGAATCTAATGTGTCCACTAATCACCGTCTGACTATAGCTAGGTTACCACAGTAAAACACATGGTTTTTGGTTCATTCTTCATGAACTTTGGCATACTCACACACTGAGTTCGTAACAGAATCTGATAAAATTACTCTTTATTTAAAAACATTTTGTTTTTATTTTGAGAGAAGGGGAGAATCCCGCACAGGCTCCACGCTCAGTGCAGAGCCTGATATGGGGCTTAATCCCATGACCTGAGCTGAATTTGAGTCAGACGCTCAACTGAACTACCCAGACATCCCTATTTTTATTTTTTATTGAAGTATAATTAACATATGCTGTTATATCGGTTCCAGGTGTTCAGTATAATAATTCAACAACTATACTTTACTCAGTGCTCATCATGATAAGTGTATCCTTAATTCCCTTTACACTTTTAATATACTTTAAAAGCTTAGTTATGTGAACGGTTCTTTAAGAAACATTTTATATTCTACTTAAACATATTTTATGTGCATGAGAGAGATTGAGGGTAGCATTTATAAATTGGCAAAGCAGCTATAACATACTGTTAAAGTAGGTCATCAAACAGTAACTTAGCAAAGGTTTAGAATAGCTGGACCTCACACAAATAGTTTCAGCATTTAATACATGAGCATAAACCTGTGTTGTTTTCCCATTAAATTTGAGGTACTTGATTACTATTTTATATTACAAAGCATAATTACAGTGATGTGTGGGTGGGGTCATTGGTTTAAAAACATGATTTTCTGTGCTTGATTAAATTATTCATATTTCTCATTTTCAAATGGTTAACGTTCCTTCTCACTTTGGAAGGATTTGTTAACTAGTCTGTAGGTTATTAATGTATGGGATTATATGCTCTTTTTGTCTGGATGGTAGGACATGATCCTAATTTTAAAATGTAGAAATGCAGTTGTGCTTAAAGGATTGCATTGATTAGGCGTGCAAACTTGACGATGGTTCAGAAATTCTCTATAACTGACATTGTGTGAACTGTTTTTAACTTCTTTAGGTAGCAGCTGACTAAAACAGTATTTATACATTCTGGTCATGGTAAAATTTCTTTAATATTTACATGTATTTATTCAGAGAGGCAGAATAGTGCAGTAGTGAAGAGCATTGACTTGGAGCCACACTGCTTTACTAACTCATGACCTTGGCAAGTTACTTAACCTCTAAGTGCTTTTCTTACTTTGTAAAATGAAGATGAAAATAGTACTTACTTTATTTGGTTGTGGTGAGCAATCAGTGAGTTAAAACATGTAAAGTGCTTAAGACAGCACCTGGCATATGGGAAGCATTAGATAAGTATGAGTTGCTGCTGCGATTATTATCTTCATCATCATCATCCTTTTCAAGATTAGCTCTCTTTTAGAGAATAGATTATGATGGTAATTTTTAATGCTAATGATAGGAACTCATTACATAGAAAAGATGTTGTACGTCGTCTCAAAATAAGTAGTTTCAGAAAAAGTTAAAAGTGCTGTAATTAATTCATGAGGTGAAGATAATAACAGCCTTGAAAAATAACTGATAAGTTTGCATGTTCTATTTGGTAATTATGATTATAGTTATTATTGTGTCCTTGCAATTATTTCCTTGCAGTTGTGTTCCAGGGCATGGGTTAGTATGGCACACGTGTACCAAAGGTGGCACATGGGAAGGGTTGCTTTCCTATGGGACAGCTACCACCACCCCACTTTTCTCTGTGTTCTAGCAACGGCTGTGCCTAAAGCAGCTTATTACTTGAATTTCTCTTCCTATTCAAGAGGCACGTGGGGCAACTCCCTGTGCTCCTATGTCCACGGTCTGCCCTGGCTCAGCTCTCATTCTCTTTCCTGCCACATGAAACCTTAATCTCAGTATTCTGTGGTAGGCCCCTTTTAGTGTATTTGGAATTTGTTCAGTGGCTTAAATGTACAGAATTAGATTTTCATTTGATACAGACCACATTAACAACTTTTTTCTTATGTTACCAAATTTAATTATTTTATAATTTCTACTTTCTTTTCAATTCATTAAAATCTGTATTTTAAGAATTGATATTTGTGCTGATCTAACCTGCCTGATGTTTACATTAATATATATTATGGCTACTAGTTTAGGAAAATGAAGCTAATTATTGGCTTCATGCATAAAGAAGTACCTTTAGTTATAGTCAGTTAATTTCACGTGCCCGCCCCAACCACCATCCTCGTTACCACCACCATTCCCTAGTAAAAATATCTCAGAATCTTGGTGCCTGCATTTCTGTCTCTTAAGTTCAGTAATACACTGCATACCTGGACTACAACCGTATTTTCTAGGTGGTCTTACTCTTGCCAATCACTCTTCTCATCAAGTCATGTGGCATACCATTTCCAGTGGTACTTTCTTGATTGTTTAGTAAGTATAAATTATTACCCTTGGATTATAGATTTTCCATCATATGCAATACCAAAATGAACACAAGTTTTGGTATCTTCTGGACACCAGGGTGGGTAGATTCAATGGAAGATTCTTCTGGTTGGTGTTGGTTATATAATTTGTATAGTTGGTTAATGTAACATTAAGCATGTTACAAGTAACTTCTTTTAATTTCTAGCTTGGAGATTTTCTTGACTAAAAAGAATGAAGGACTAACATGGCCAGAGCTAGTGGTTGGTGATAAACAAGGAGAGTTTATAAGAGACTCAGCCCAGTGTGCTGCTATAGCTGAACGTTTGATGCATTTGACCTCTGAAGAACTGGTAAGCAATTTTAATAGTAGGGTGACTTTCCAAAGGCCCGGAAGTATGTTATGTGAGGGTTGTGCCATGTTTTTCAAACATTATTTTACATTTACTAATGTTAGAGACACAGATGAGGCACAGACTGGTGTTTGAATGTAGGTTAAAATTCTAATATTCATTCCTTACACTATGCGAATACATATCTGTGTGTGTGGGATTGCTGTATAAGGTGGATGTGCATGTGTATATTTATATATATGGATACACACACATAGATACATATATATTCTCCTTTAGAAGAATCAGACCGATATTGGCAGGGACAAAATTAGGATTTTACTGTATACCTATGCCAATAATCTTCTTGTCGTAAAATTTTCTAGGTTATCTTAGGATATCACGGGGGTATATATATATATATATATATACTACAATTATGATTGACAAAATAATTCATTGTAATGATTACAGTGATAATACACTACTCATTCAACTGTGACATTTTGTTGAAAATGTTCCAATCTGATAACTTTTAAGATAATGTTAAAAATTTGAATAAAGCAGGGGTGCCTGGGTGGCTCAATTGGTTAAGTGTCCAACTTCAGCTCAGGTCATGATCTCATGGTTCGTGGGTTAAAGCCCCGTGTGGGCTTTGTGCTGACAGCTCAGAGCCTGGAGCCTGCTTCAGATTCTGTGTCTTCCTCTCTCCTCCTCTCCCCTGCTCGTGCTCTTTCTCTGTCTCAAAAATAAACATTAAAAAAAATTTTTTTTAATTGAATAAAACATTATATCAGAATTTCAGTTATATGTTTATTCACCAAAAATTATATCAGCACATGTACAATGTCTGACTTATTGCCATTTGGAGTTAGAGTGATGAGGAAAAAACTGTTAGGAGGTAGTTTATACTATAGGGTTAATTATATCCTAAAGTGGAAAGGAAATTAGAATATTGAAAGTAAATGTCTCTGTCAAAAGAAAACATGGCCAAAATGGAGAAACCAAGTTTCATGTCTGCCAGCAATAGTTAAAAATTTCAGGGGGCACCTGGGTGGCTCAGTCAGTTGAGTGCTCTACTTCGGCTCAGGTCATGATCTTACGGTTCTTGAGTTCAAGCCCCACATCAGGCTCACTGCTGTCACCACAGAGCCTGCTTCAGATCCTCGCCCCCACCCCTCAGCCATTTACACTCTCTCAAAAGTAAAAAATGTTGAAAAAAAAAATTTCAGGATCACTGGAAAGCATTTGTGAGACTGTGAAACTTTGATCTCCTAGCCCTGGTGTGAAAACAAGCCCATGCAGACGGCATTGCCCTATGTTCATTCATTCAGCAAGTATTTTTTGTGATAGGGCTCTGGGATATAATCATATAGTTACAGTAGTGGGGCTTGTTATGATATTGTAGATTATTGCTGCTAACTGCCTTTTAAACTTGATTATTTCAAGTAAATATTGGTATATTTATTTCAAGTAAATATTGGTATATTTATTTCAAGTAAATATTGGTATATATGAGTAAGTTATTTATGTCTGAACACCAGTGTATTTGGGAAAAACATAGAATCTTGTTATCTGCAGCTGAAGGCTGTCTTGCGTGTTTCAAATCTTTATACTTTTTGTTATCTTTCTGCATTGGTTAGAACCTTTAATCCATTGTAAAATAGAAATGGTGAATAGTGAAAGCAGACATTCTTGTCTTATTTGTAAGCTTGGAAAAATGAGTATTTCACTGTTAAGTATGGATTATTTTTGTCATGTTGAGGAAATTTTCTTCTATTATACTGAGTTTTTAATCATGAAAGGCCATATAGAATTTTGTCAAATACACTTCATTTGTGGTGTAAACCTTACTTGGTCATGATGTATAATCCCTTTTAGGTATTACCAGTTTGGGTTTGCTAATATGTTATTGAGGAGTTTTGCATCTATATTTGTGAGGAATATTGGTCTGTAGTCTCTGTTTTTTCTTTTTACTGTCGTTACTCAGTTTTGGTATCTGGGTAATGCTGATGTCAAATGAAAAGGGAAGTGTTTCCTGCTTGTTCTATTTCTGGAAGAGATTGTGTAGAGTTGGCATTATTTCTTTAAATATAGAATTTTCCAGTGAAACTGTCTGGACTGGAGTTTTCTTTTTTGGAAGTTTTTAACCATGAATTTAATTTCTTTATTAAATACAGGATTATACTGGGCATCTATTTCCTTTGGCTTTTTTTCAGTTTCCAGTTTCATTTGTTATTACATTGATTATTTTCTCCTTTTTGCTTACTTTGGATTTATTTTGCTCTATTTTTAAAAGTGAAAGTTTAGATGATTGATTTTTTTTAACCTACTTTTCTGTTGAAAGCATTTAATGCTATATACTTTATTCCAAACACTACTTGACCTACCTCCTCCAAAATTTCAGCCTGTCTTCTTAATCCCATTAAGGATGATTTGATTTGGTGCTGTATTTCAGTATTTTATGTGGCTGATATGTATTCCTTGTTTGTTCTTTCTACTAGGGCAGAACTTTTCATGAATCTCAACTGAAAGTCTAGGATGTTTACCAGGGCTTCTCCGGTGTGGGCTCTGATCTCTAATTTTTGTCTCCCAAGCACTTTATTAATATCAGCACTCAGCTTTTGAGCCCCTTGCCTGCTTCTTTCCACTTGTCTTTTCCAGCACAGCTTGAAAATCAGTAAATGCCTAAAGACAAGTAGCAGAATCTTGGGTTCTCTTCTCTGCTGTTCCCCTTTCTCTGTAAACTTGTCCTGTTAAATTCTGGCTGCCTTGATAGTACTGAACTTTTTTTTTTTTTTAACATGTTATTTATTTTTGAGAGACAGCAGGGGAGGGGGAGAGAGAGACAGAGACAGAATCTGAAGCAGGCTCCAGGCTCTGAGCTGTCAGCACAGAGCCTAATACAGGGCTTGAACCCGAAAACCGTGCGATCATGACCTGAGCTGAAGTCGGATACTTAACTGAACCACCCAGGCGCCCTGATAGTCCTGAACTTTTCATTTTTGTCCTCTTGTCTTTAACATATAGTTAATGGAAAAGGGAAAGGAGGGAGGAGTGCAGAGGGTGCCTTCTCTATGCTACTGGACATATGTATATTTTTGAATCGCTGAAAAAATGGCCCCAGCTAATTGCTGATACTGCCTTCCCAGCCAATCATAGCAACCAGACTTGTTTCCATTGATATTTAGGCTGACTAAACTAGGTGGCTCCAAATCCCAGGTGGACATGGACAAGGTTCATCTTCTATCACTTCTATAGCTCCAGAGATTTAGTTTCAGAGATTTTCTCAGGTCATTTCATCAAGTTTTCAATAACATGACTGCATTTTGGCAAACGAGGTGTGTGGACATTTGGTCAGTTGTAGAATTATGGTTCTGTTACATACATGTGTATACATAATTCATAATGCATGTATATGTGCAATTTATCACTTCAGCATTGTGATCCTTGTACTCTGTGAGGGATATAAGGCCAGAGAGTACTTCTTGCATTTAAGCAATGGAACATATTAAAAGTACCTTACGTTTATCTCTACTTTTGGCTTATTAGCTACACCTTTGTTTTTGTATTAGTGTGTATGTGTGTATTTAGTGGTTGTTCTAGAGTTTACACTGTACATCTTTAACTCATCACCATCTTTCTTCAAAAATTATTACATCATTTCACTGTAACTAAAGAGCTTCACAATATATTTCCATTTCTTCATCCTTTCTGTTGTTCTCATCAGACATTTTATTTTTACATGTTATAAACTCAATGACGTTATTATCTCAACTTTAATCAGTCAGTTCTTTTTAAAAGAGATTAAAATATGGGGGGGGGGTCTTACATTGGCCCACATATTACACTCTGTTCTCCTCTCATTTCTTTGTGTTGATTCATATTTTCATCTGTTGTCATTTTTTTCCTGGCTGAATAGTGTCCTTTAGCATTTCTTGTAGTGTAGGTTTACTGAGTGAATTTTCTCAGCTTTTGTTTGCTGTAAAAATACTTAGGTTGTCTTCCTTTTTTAATATTTTTGGTAAGTATATAAGTCAATGTCGATAGGATTTTTCCCCCTTTCAGAACTTCTGTTAATACTCCATTGTTTTCTGGCTTGCATAGTTTCTGATGAGAAGTTGGCTGTCATTTGTATCTTTGTTCCTCTGTTCATAATGTGTTTTTTCCTCTTCTCACTGCTTTTAAGATATTCTCTTTATTACTAGTTTGCAGCAATTTCATTATAATGTGATTTGCAGTGGGTTTTTTAGATGTTTCTTTGACCTTCTTCAATTTATAGAGTTACAGTTTTCATCATTTAATGACCATTTCTTCAATTTTGTTTTTCCATTCTTCGTGCCCTCTTCTAGTTACCCATGTGTTACACCATTTGATATTTGTTCCACAGGTCATTGCAGTTGTGTTTTTATTTTTTGTCCTCTGTGTTTCATTTTAGATAGACTCTCTTGGCTGTGTTTCAAGCTCACAGGTCTTCTGCTGTGTCTAATTAGCTGTCAATCCCATCTTTTTTTGCTTTCCACTTCAGATATTATATTCTCATATTTACAGTTCAGTTTGGTTCTTTTTTTATATCTTCCATACCTCTCTCAACATATATGTACTTTTCTGTACATCCTTGATTTTGTAATAACTGTTTTAATGTCTTTGTGGTGATTTCATCATTCTGTCATTTCTGGGTTTTGTTGATTAGGATTTATCAGTCGGGTCTGAAATTTAGTTTTTAATTACTGTTGTAATCTTGATATTTTAAGTATGAAGAAACCCATTCTCTTATTGTTGATGGTTTGTTTATTTTGTTTTCTGGCCTAAGAATCCAAATCCAGATAAAGAGAAACCTCCTTGTAATGCTCAAGAGTTAGAAGAATGTGATATTTTCTTTGAAGAGAGCTCCAGTTTATGCAGATTTGATGGCATTACATTAAAAACTACTCATGTGGTAAGTTTTTGATCATCATATTTCTAAAAATTTATGAATAAGTACAAGTTATAGGAGATAATAATTAACTGGCCACATATATAATTTGCAAACCTGGCTTGATTGCAAAGCTGAACAGCAAAGTAAATGACAAGAAAACCCTTGAACTTTTTGTTTGATCTTTACGAATTGGTGTGCAAGATACAGGATTTTTAGTCTGTTTTTGTTTTTGGTTTGTTTTTTACTGTTGACTGTTTTATAATATTTGGTGTTTGGGGTTGGGTGGCTATCATCTAAAACTCATTACTTCATGAAGTGGCAGTTTATATCACCATCCCTAATGAAACACTGTTGCCTTATTTTGGTACTGTTGCATATTTGATATCTTGTGGTAAGCTTTTTTCTGTTTAGGTTTTTATATGTGGTTACAACTAATTTATAATAACCTCATTTTTTCATTTGAAATTATGACATATTTCTTTATGTTCTCACCTGGTTTAACAGCTAGGTAATACTATACAATGTTATTGTTGGTGTTCATGTGTGTATGTATATGTAGTGGTTGTCCTAGAGATTATAGTATGTATCTTCAGTAAATTTTTTCCAATTGCGTTATTTATATGCTATTTTTTAAGAATCCCTTCTTACGTAAAGCCATTTCTGTATTCAGGGATTTTATCTAATAGATTTACAGAAGTCAAATTAATGAGTCCTGGACAAAGGCTCTGACAAGTCGATTTCCACTGTATATTGTCATTAATAATGTTTGCAGTTATTACCTATTTCACTGCATCTTACCTGTCCTTTCGTTTTTATGTTTGATCTTTACTAATTGGTGTGCAAGATACAGGATTTTTAGTCTGGTTTTTTTTTGCTGTTGACTGTTGACTATTTCATGATATTACCTTTGACTATTTCTTTTGTGAAGAATTTTTTCATTTATTTATTTTGGTGTTTCTGACTGACTTGTGTGACCTTACTTCTTCATAAAATGTGTTCCTAAAGAGCATGCATGATAGATTTCTCTTATAAGTAGGTTCTATCATCAGAAAGTTAAGAAATGTACATATAATCCCTCATTGTACCATAGTTTTTAGAGACAATGTTTGATAAAACATTTCCAGCATTTTGCACATACTCAAACTGTTTAGTCACAGTTCAGTGTTAATTGCTGGTTTAACTCCAATGATTTGCTGTTTGTATATATTGCAAGATGACACCAATGATTTGCTGTTTGTATATATTGCAAGATGACCACATAGTAAGTCTAGTTAAATTTTCTCACCATACATACCTATAAATTCTTTCTCATATAATGAGAACGTTTAAGGTCTACTCTGTTAACAATTTCATATATTAAGTACAGTATTAACTAATAGTCATCATGCTATAAATTATAATCCCCTATACTTATTTATAATAAATGGAAGATTATGCCTTTGACACCCTTAATCCATCCCCCAGCCACCGTCAGATATGAGATGTAGAGGAAGGGAGAGATAATCTTAAGCAGGTTTCGTGCCCATCATGGAGCCCAACATGGGGCTCGGTCTCATGACCATGAAATCATGACCTGACCCGAAATCAAGAGTTGTACGCTTAACCAGCTGAGCCACCCAGGAACCCCTGATTTACGTTTCTTGATGCTTACTGTTGTTGAGCACCTTTCATATATGTACAAGTTGACCATATTTAGGTCTTCTTTGGAAAAAGGTCTGTTTAGTTTCTCTAATCATTTTTTTAAATTGCATTATTTTTTGCTATTTAGTTACAGGAGTTCTTTATAAATTTTGGATGTTAACCCCTTATCCAGATATATAATTTACGAATATTTTTTTTCCCATTCAGTAGGTTGCATTTTCATTTTGTTGACCATTTCCTTTGCTGTTAAGATTTTTAGTTTGAAATAGTCCCATTTGTTACTTTTGCTTCTGTTGCTTTTGCTCCAGAATACCATTGCCAAGACTGAGGTCAAGAAGTTCACGGGCTCTGTTTTATTCTAGGAATTTCAGGCCTTATGTTCAACTTTTTAATCCATTTGAGTGCGTTTTTGTGTATGATGTAAAGATAGTGGTCCAGTTTTGGTTTTTTGCATGTGGCTATCCAGTTTTCCCAAAACCATTTGTTGAAAAGACTGTCCTTTCCCCCATTGTATATTCTTGGCTCCTTTATCATAAATTGACCATGTATGGATAGGTTTACTTCTGGGCTCTCTGTTCCTTTGGACTCTGTGTCTATTTCTTATTTTTTACTTTTTTAAATATTTACTTATTTTGCGGGGGCGGGGGAGAGAATGAGCAGGGGAGGGGCAGAGAGAGAGAGAGAGAGAGAATCCGAAGCAGGCTCTGTACTATGCAGGGCTCGATCCCACAAACAATGAGATTATGACCTGGGCCAAAATCAAAAGTCATATGCTTAACTGTCTGAGCCACCCAGATGCCCCAGGACTCTGTGTCTATTTTTATACCAGTACTATACTATTTTGATTACTATAGCTTTGTAGTATAGTTTGAACTTAGGAAACGTTTTTTAAGATTGCTTTGGCTATTTGGGATATTTTCTGGTTCCACACAAATTTTTGGATTTTGTTCTGTTTCTTGGAAAAGTGCCATTTAGAATTTTGATAGTTTTATTGACTCTGTAGATTGCTTTGGTAATATGGACATTTTAACAATTTTTTCCAATAAATAAATGTGGAATATCTTCCCATTTATTTTTGTCTTCAGTTTCTTTCATTGGAGTTTTAACAGTTTTCAGTTTAGAAGTTATTCACCTCCTTGGTTAAATTTATCCCTATTTTATTCTTTTTGATGAAATTGTTAATGAGATTGTTTTGTTGATTTCTCTTTCCAGCAGGATGTATGTATACTGTACGTATGTAACTGATATATAGAAACACAACAGCATTCTGTGTATTACCTTTATATCCTGCAACTTTACTGAATTTATTAATTGTAATCATTTTTTTAGTAGAGTCTTTAGGGTTTTCTATATAATGTCACATCATCTGCAAATAGTGATAGTTTTACTTCTTCCTTTCTGATTTGGATGCCTTTTTATTTCTTTTTCCTACCTAATTGCCCTGCTTAGGACTTCCAATACTATGTTGAATAAAAGTGGTAAGAGTGGGCATCCTTTTCTTGTTGATGATCTTAGAGGAAAAGCTTTTAGCTTTTCACTGTTGAGTTTGATATTAGCTGTGGGCTTGTCATATATGGCATTTATTATGTTATATTCCCTTTGTACCCACTTTTTGAGAGTTTTTGTAAATGTTGAATTTTGTCAAATGCTTTTTTCTGCATGTATTGACATGATCATACAATTTTTATTCTTAATTTTGTTAATGTGGAATATCTCATTAATTTTCAGATATTAAACCCTCCTTGCATCCCTGCAGTAAACCTCATCCCTGCAGTTTACTTGCAGTAAAGCAAATTTATATATTTAGGTGCTCCTGTGTTGGTGTCGTAAATATTTACAAATGTTATATTCTCTTGTTAGAGTGACCTTTTTATCATTATTTAATGATTTGCCTCTTATTACATTCTTTGCCTTCAAGTCTGTTGTCTGATGTAAGTATACCTTACCCCAGCTTTCTTTTGGTTTCCACTGAATGGAATATCTTTTGCGGTCTCTTCACTTTCAACTTTGTGTGTCTTTACTTCTGAAGGGAGTCTCTTCTAGGCAGCATATAGATGGGTCTTATTTTTTTTCTTTCAGTCACTCTATGTATTGAGAATTTAATCTATTTACATTCAGATTAATTATTGATAGGTGTGTACTTATTGCCATTTTGCTACTTAATTTTCTGGCTGTTTTGTAGTTTTTCTATTCCTTCTCTGTCTTCCTTTGTGATTTGATGATTTTCTATAGTGGTATGCTTAAACTCCTTTATCTTTTATGTATCTACTGTAGGTTTTTGCTTAATGGTTATCATGAGGTTTACATTTATTTTTTTTTTCAGTTTATTTATTTATTTTGAGAGGGAGAGAGCATGTGCATGAGCAGGGGAGGGGCAGAGAGAGAATCCCAAGGAGAGGCTGTGTGCTGAGATCATGACCTGAGCCAAAATCAAGAGTCAGACACCTAACCAACTGAGCCACCCAGGTGCCCCAATGAGGTTTATATTTAAAAGCTTAGATTTATAACCATTTGTTTTATGTTGATAACAGCTTAAGTCTGAATGCATTTTAAAGCTATACATTTTTACTCCCTGAAACATTTTATGTTTTTGATGTCACAATTTATATTTTTTTATCTTGTGTATCCCATAATAAATTACTGTAGTTGCGTTTTTGCAATGTTTGTCATTTAACTTTTATGCTACCTTTCTAGGTGATTAACTTGCTATCTTCACATTAGATTTTGAAAGTTATTGTGCATTTACCTTTACCAGTGAGGTTTATATTTCCATATGGTTTTCTGTTACTATTTGGCATTCTTTTTGTTCAGCTTAAAGAAGTCCCTTGACATTTCTTATAGGGCCAGTCTAGGACTGATGAATTCCTTCACCTTTTGCTTCTCTGGAAAACTGTTTCTCCTGCCATTCTGAATGGTATCTTTGCCAGGTAGAGTATTCTTGGTTGGAGGTGTTTTTTCCTTCAGCACTTTGAGTGTATCATGCTACAGCTTTCTGGCCTGCAAAGTTTCTGCTGAAAAAAACTGCTGATAGTTGTGGTGGGGTGGTGGCGGTCCCTTATACATAACAAGTTGTTTTTCTTTTCCTGCTTTCAAGATTCTATCCTTGTCTTTAACTTTTGACATTTTAAACATGACATGTCTTGGTGTAAGTCTTTTTGAGCTGATATTACTTCAAACTTTCTGGAGCCCAACCTTCTGGGCTTCCTGAACCTTCCCTTCCTTCCCCAGGTTTTCCCTTTGTTTATCCATACTTCTGTGCTTAGTGAATATCTTTATGACTGCTGTTTTGATCTCTTCATTGGGTAAACAAACCACTTACCTCCATTTCATTAAGATCTCTTTCTGAGGTCTTATCTTGTTCTTTCCTCTTTGCAACATAT